GGCGGCCTGTGCCCTGTGCCTGCTGTGGCCCCGCAAACACCCCGCCGCCAGCCCCTTCCCGGCTCCCGCGGGCAGTTCTGCGGGAGTCAGAGGCCCTGGGGAAGGCGAGCCGCCAGGCAAAGCGCTTCCTCGCCCTGCACCTGAGCTCCCGCCGCTGCAGAGACTGGTCACAGGCTCCCCGCACAGCCGCGCTGGGGTTGGGGTGCGGGGGAGAGTGCAGGGGGGAGGGGCGGAGGGCACCAGCCCCCCCATGGACGCAAAAACAGCCCCTTCCCTGGGCTGGATTGACAGCCAGGCCCGGGCATGTCAAAGGTCAGGGCAGCCCCCAAACCGCGGGTTCCCGTTAAGGACCTGAGGGTGATGCGGGTGAGGACAGCTAACCTTCATCAGCCCCTTCCTATCCACCAGGCACACTGTTGTCCACTTCACATACACCTTCCTCAGTCTATCCTCACATCCCCCTGAGATGCTCAGTGTGCGGCCAGGGTTTCAGACACAGAAACTGACGCTTAAAGCAGCGGTAGAAGCTGTGGGAGGAGCCAGGAGGAGAAACTCCAGGTCCGGAGGCTGCCTCCAGGTGCTGTCAGCTCCCAGCCTAGCTAGGAGGTCACCTGAGATTGTCTGTCTTCACAGAACCCTTCCCCGGGTTCTAGTTCTTAAGACTGGGGAGTGAGTGTGTTTGTTCTTATTACTCTCCACAGCGTATAGATTAGGTTCGTTCATTTTTATCAAATATTACATGGTTCTCTTTAAGTTTGACTGCCAAGAACCCTAGCAAATGGGGATGTTTACAAAATGATAAGGAATCTTGGGCAGCACAGGACAGCTGGACACCCCGGTGCAGTGGTGCTCCCACGGCTCCTACTGCCCGGTCGACTGCTGGCTACATTCGAGGCCCACCAGGCTACTCAGATTTCAGCCGATGATGCCAGCTGTCACTGCCCCTACTCAAAGCCCTGAGTCCGAGGGCCATCAGCTGGCTGCCTGCGGAGAGGCGTGGCCACCTGACCTACTTCCAATCCCCTGTTCTACGTGCTACGTTTCTCTTTGAAGAATGCCTTTGCCTGGCTCACTTCTCTAGGTTGTTACTGGCAACTCACTGAGGTGTCCTATACCGCTCCACCCCCTTCACCTTCTGGTCCCAAGAATCCTGTTATTCATGATGAAGAGACATCCGTGGGTGACAACTCTGAGGTGAGCCTGTCCACAGGAGCAGCAAGGCAGAGGCCACCTCCAGGAGGGTCATGACAGTGAGCTGAAAGGCTTAGCTGATGTGCCCGCAATGACAGGAATGTCAGCGTTCTGTGGCAAAGCTGGGCTAAAATGAGAGCTATATAGAAAAATGAGCAAATTAGCCCTACCCAGTTTGGCTCAGTGGACAGAGCATTCGTCTATGGACTGAAGGGTCCCAGGTTCGATTCTGGTCAAGGGCACATGCCCGGGTTGTGGGCTGGATCCCCAGTGGGGGGTGTGCAGGAGGTAACCAATCAATGCTTCTTTCTCATCACTGATGTTTCTGTTGCTCTCTCCCTCCCCCTTCCTCTTTGAAATCAATAAAAAATATTTTTTAAAAATTTAAAAAAGAAAAATGAGCAAATCCTATCTAATAATAGAGAAACATGGTAATTAACCGTAACTTCGCTACCCTTCCCATTGGCTAATCAGCAAAATATGCAAACTGCCAACCAAGATGGCAGCCGGCAGCCAGGCAGCTGAAGTGAACAGGCTTGCTTGCTCCAGTGATGGAGGAAGCCAAGGTTCGCCGCCTGCTGCTGTCGGCCTCTGAGCTTACACTCTAAGCAACTATGTTGCAATTATAGAGGCTAAACAATCCCCAGAAACCTGCTTTCAGCCGTCAGAGCTGGAGCAAGCAGGACCGCAACAGTGTTACAATTATAGAACCCAAACAAACCCAGATACCTGCTTTCAGCAGCTGAGGTCTCAGAGCTGGAGCCAAACCTTAGAGCTAAAGCCGGCTCTCAGCTCCAGTGATGGCTGTAGAAGGTAAATAAATCCCAGAATAAAAAAAAAGAAAAAGAAAAAAAGGAGAGACTGGGAGCTTCAGTCACCTGCCAGCCTGAAAATGGTCCTCAGCCCCTCATCCAGGCTGGCCAGGCACCCCAGTGGGGATGCTCACCCTGAAGGGGGTGTGACCAGCTGCAAACAGCCATCATCCCCTCATCCAGGCTGGCCAGGCATCCAAGCGGGACCCCCACCCTGATCTGGGACACCCTTCAGGGCAAACCAGCCAGCCCCCACCCGTGCACCAGGCCTCTATCCTATATAGTAAAAGGGTAATATGAAAAGTAACCCTAACAGCAGAAAGACTGGAAATGACTGGTCACTATGACACATACTGACTAGCAGGGGGCAGACTCTCAATGCAGGAGTTGCCCTCTGGTGGTCAGTTACCGGGCTGCCAGAGGGATGTCTGATTGCCATCCTAGGCCCAATCCCCCAGGTAGCGGGCCTAAGCCAACAGGTGGTCATCCCCTGAGGGATCCCAGACTGCGAGAGGGCACAGGCTGGGCCGAGGGACCTCCCCTCCCCGCTGAGTGCACAAATTTTTGTGCACCGGGCCTCTAGTTAAAATATAAGGCAATGAATTTCAGGAGAAAAGCAAAAAACATAAAAAGACATTAAACAAAAGAAAGTACACCAAGTGGCTCAGCTTAAATAGTGAATCAAAAGTTATAATTTAATCCCAGTGGTGAATAAGAATTGATGGGGTAGTGATGATGGGAGACAGCTAAATCCTCATTTTTTTAGAGTAGCAAGTCAATGGCTCTCTACTTCTTTTCCCCCCAAAATCAAGAAATACCAACATGATTATGCTATTTAGAAAACTGAAGGTAAACCCAGAAAAAAGGGAGCTAAGAAACAGGAATGGGATTAGGGAGGCATGAGGTAAGAAACCTTTCATTCAAGCCTTGGCACCCACATCTCCTCCAACCACCAGGACTCCACTCTCCTTTTAGAAATGAGAAAAGAATGGGGATTGTTCCCCATGGTCATAGTTTGAAATGCCGTATTTCCCATTTCAGTGGTCAGAGAGCAATGAAGGAAATATTGCCCTCAAATTCGAGAATTCTCAGTGATGAGGCACAC